TGATGTAATAACTAGGGGGGTTATTTATATCTCATGGAAAAAAATAAATTCGGAATGAGGTTTGGGTTATGAAAAATAATGATACAGCTGGTGATATGAAAATCGAGATATGCTAGTGATTTTTTTTTTCCTGATTTAGTTTATCGATGCGTCTTTTTCTCTTTACCTAAGGTAATGGTTGTGGTAATGATAATGGTGATACTGATAACGATAAGGGTGATAATGATAATAATGATAGTGATAAAGATAACGAAACGAACAGGTATGATAATGATGATAATAAAAATAATAATGATAGGAATCATAGTAATGGTAGATAAGATAACAAAGAAAATAATAATGATAATAACAGTAACAATATTGATAACAATAATTATGACGATAATAATAAGTTATGATACTAAAGATATTATTATCATTATCATCACTTATTATTAATAATGATGATGGTAATGATAATGACAATTAATAATGATAACGATAATGATAATAATACTAGTAATATCAATAATGGAAATGATAATAGTAATACACATAACAGCAATAATATGAGAAATTACAATAATGATTTTAATGATAATAATAATAATGTTAACAATTACAATAACAATGATAGTTATAGTAATGAGGATGATAATAATCATAATAATGATAAAAGTAATAATGATAGTGATTATTACAATAATAATGATAAAAACAATTTTAATGCAAATAATGACAGTAATGAAGATGATGATGATCATAATGATAATAGATAATAGATATAAAAATGAAAATGTTAATAGTAATAATATCATTGAAAATAACAATGACGATAACACATCCGGAAAAAATGACGAGAATGTTCTTATTTAATTCAGATTTTTTCTCTCTCGGCCAAGGAGCTCGGATCCGGACGCGCATTGTGTTCGTTGTGAAAGAGACGTATTGATTCTTTTCTCAGAACAAGAGGAGACTCAAGGACTCTTTCTAAGACAAATGAGAGGAAAGAAATTTTGGTTTTCTTTTTCGTGTAAATTCCGCCAGGGAGATTTTTTTTTTTTTTTTTTTTTTATCAGGTGTGTCTTAGCCCATTACATTTTGGTGGTGATCCGCGTCATGATCCGGATCCAGTATTTTTTTAAAGGATTCATTAGAATTGC